CAAAGCCACGGCTCTCCATATTGCTTAGTAAATTAAAGGCTCATGTAATCAGAAAAAGAGAGATATACAGTAAAGAGAGATTCAAAGAGGAAGAAAACCACTAACTGGTTTACAGTATGTTAAAAATATATGCAGGCTAAAGGTTAAAGTCATTAAAAAAAGAAAGAAAAACAGGGAGACATAGGGTGTGGTGGTACACACCTTTAATCCCAATGCCTGGGGGGCAGAGGTAGATTGACCTCTGTGACTTCAAGGTGTGGTAGTGCACACCTTTAATCCCAGCACTGGGGAGGCAGAGACAGGAGGATCTCTGTGAGTTCAAGGACAGCCTGGTCTACAGAGTTATTCCAGGACAAAGATATATACAAAGAACCTGTCTCAAAAAGCCAAAAGTTAAAAGTAAAAATAAAAGAAATAGAGGTTGAAATAAAGCTGCATAAAGATGGAAAATACAGAGAGAATCTTGATACTGTGTGTTATTATGCTCTCTTTGAATTGTTTGAATGCTGAGGAAGGAGCAACAGCTGCTAAAAGATATTTGCTTATAAATGCTGCTGAATTAATCCAAGATAGATATTTTGAAAATACCTTTGCTTCAAAATTGAAGTCAAAAGGTATGCTACTTTGGAGAAGAGATTCTGCTTTTGTTTCCACAGAAAACGAGAGGCTCTGGATTCATTCAGAGTTAAGAAAAATCACCTTTGACCAAGGGAGGCCACCTGAAAGATCTCCAACAGGAATAGATGGCCCAGATGTCTGAGTTCTTCATCCAGAACAGGTTCAAGACTGCTGCCTGAGATGATCAAGACTCACAGGATACTCCAGTCAGAACTTGATTATAACTCTAAATTTTCTTTAGGTCCCCATAAGATTATCAGCGCCCCCAACCAGCAGGAAATAGCCTGAAATACTACGCCCACATTCCCAACAAATGGACTATGGGTATTTTCCTTTGTTTAAAAAAAAAGAGAGGGAAATGGTGCAGGAGAATTATCTGTATTCTGCCAATCATATTTTAATAAAA